CCCATCGTCACCCTCCGCGTCGCACGTCGTCCGGAAAGAACTCTCAGCCCCAGGCCGGCGTCCACTCGCCGGTTCCTCCCCTTTTCCTTTTTTTTTTAAGTGCGTCCGCCATTAATGGCTAACACGAGCTCGAAGCTCGGTTTTCAGTTTTCAAGCAACCGACGAGGACGAGAGCAAGCCGGCGAGCACAAGCGGCAACAGCCGAGCGAGATGGCGGCGGCCCTAGGCCGCACAAGCTGCGGACGGGTCAGATCCCCAAAAGTTTTTTTTTTTTTTTAATTTTCAGTCGCCCAGCGACAGTGGCCCTTGGCCGCGCGTTTTCCGGCGACTAGCCCGACGACAATCGCCGGCAGCGGAGGGACGGCGAGGTTGGGAGATGAGAGACGGGCGATTATTGAGAAGGGATTCAAAATCCCAGATCCCAGCGCAGGTTCGTTCCAACAAAACAAAATTACGAACAAGTATTCCAAATTCACATCTTAATTATACTTTAATTATCATTAAAACAATTAAAATATAATTAACAGATTGTAATCTAATTAAAATCTGCATCTTGAACTACATATTCATTCGAGCAAACGCGCAGCAACCAAAATCTTAATGAAGATCAATTCCAAATTAATTATCTTAACACATATTTTGATCCATATAAATCTAATTTAAAATCGAATAGCTAGGAACACCGACTCGAGGCTCTGATACCACTGTTGGATTTTAGACGTACGAATCAATCGCACGCGCAGCGGAATTTTAAATTTTCTTACCAACAACGAAGATCCGACTATAGCTATTCGATATGATCCTAGATCGCGTGAATGATACACGAAAACTTACAGTTATTCGTCGTTTGTCCTCGACTATGGTATCCACGCAATCCAGTTTCCCGATGCACGATTTAACGCCAATGAATCCCTTCCGGTGAAGAAGCTAGGAATCCTCGATCCGGAAAGCTAGAGAGTGTTCTGTCTTTTGTTGATCTCTCAAATGTTTTGGGATCTCTCTTATCGATCCAACGATAATTGATTATGAAGAGATAATCAGATATTTATAATTAGGTCAAAACCTAATTATATGGGCCTTAGGATACCCTACAGCCCAATAGGTAATTAGATCTAATCCAATTAATATTTTAATTAAATATAAATCTAATTTAACTTAATTAAATATTTTCCATCAAATAGAAAATTATCTCATTACTAATTAAGTATAAATCTAATTTAATTTAATTAAATATTTTCTATCAAATAGAAAATAATCTCATTACTCATAAATAAATATTCCAATCTAATCGAATATTTAACACTCTCGATTCACTCTTAGTCGAAAAACTGATTGCATATTGTGTGACCCTATAGGCCTTCATATATTGACATAAATCTAATTTATGATCCTTACGAAACTCCTAGACTGCGTCGAAGGACGAACTCAAAATATGAAGTACGTTTACATGGACAAGCAAACAAACCTTTGGTGTAGAATTCAATAATGATACGGTCCCTTCATTCACGAACCACTCGATTAAGCTTAGGATTTGAACGTGTGTCTATCCAAACAGCTTAATCATTTTATCTCATCTCACTGGTTGATTTTATCAATTATATTTGAACACCATTTCAAATATAATCACGTGCATTGGCCAATGACTTTATCAACCCAGTATAGAGAAAACGAGTGTTCTCTCGAAACTATATTCGAGGAATGAATCCTATCTTGGCTCAACTACCAATTCCATGTATATCATGATCTACCCAACACAAGCCCGTATCTACCCATAAGGGCGTAAGCTTTGGACTAGGTCTAAGTAAATCACTCTATACATGAATTGCGTATTGACCTCAAGTCAAAGGACTATTACACCATTCCACACACCGATACTCCCATAGACACATAAACAAATGGTTTCTCGGTAGGGTATGCCAATACTCTCCAAAGTATCCATGTGTCCATCACGAATAACAATTATTCATAGCAGTGAGACATACTATATTCTCCAAGAATGTGATGCAGACCACATGTCAATCTATCGCGTATCATTAATATCCCTTTCTTAATGATCATCGATTTAGGCGATTTTAGAGTTATACTTTATCTATTAACATCTCACTCTGTTAATGACAGTATCAACTCAAGGAGCAATTAATTAATAAATTGCAAATAATCAAACAATTATTTAATTAATTGCAAGACCATAATTATAATCCAATATAATTATTACTGTGATCCTGTATATATGTCCTCAAAAAGATTGTCTCTAGGACACATATACCAACAGTGGTCACCTCCTTCAGCTCGACGTCGAGATTCACATGCTTAAAGCAATCATAAAACATGACATCCACTGAACTTCTGGTATCGATAATTATCCACCACATCGTAGCATGCGACCTTTGCTGAGATCACCAGAGCATCATTATGGAGCACGTGAAGGCCTTTGATGTCTTCGACCGTAAAGCTAATCACAAGTGCCCTTTCTATAATGCTGACCTCCTCCTTCGTTCTCTTTGCAGCTCGACCATGCTGCTTCCTGGTATTGTTTGAGTCCCCATCCATAGGACCACTCGAAATTATATGAATTATACCCCTATTTGGTAGGGTCTCATCGTCTTATACCTCATGATCATCCCTATCTTTGCGCATTTTTCCTTGATCCTCGTCCTCTCTTATCCTTCTTTCCGCACCCTATCTTTGTACACAAACTCCTTGAGGTGACCAACTCGGATCAACCTTTCAATCTCATCCTTGACATGACAACTATTGTTGGTAGAGTGGTGGTAATCTTTATGGAACCTGCAGTGTAAATCAGACTTAAGTTGCATGGGGCTCTCCTTCCTTGACCTTGGTCAGGTCACCATGTTTCCTTCCAACCTCTTCTCAATGGTCTCCAACACCTCTTCCAGGTGTGACCTCAAGCGGGTATACTTGTCATATATCTGCCTATCACGGACAAGTCTACCTTTCCACCAGTCCTTTCTCCTACCATCTTCTCTTTCTTTCTCCGGGGAACCATTATTTTTCTTCTTAGTCTCCGGTGGAGACAATTTCTCCAGTTTGGCGAACTCGACCTATGCCTCCTCTATATTGATGTATTTGTTACGCCTAGTCAAGACCTCGATGTAGGTCACACTAACTTCTTAGCCAACGAGCTTTTACACGGACTAACTCGCAGACCCCTCATCAATCCCTGAGCCTTGACCTCCTCTGAGGCCGAAGGAATCTCCAAGCATGCCTGAGTATAATGGCCAACAAAGCTCCTTAGAGTATCGTCACTCTATCACTGCATAGCCATTAAGGTAGGTTTTCTCATGCAACCTCACGCTGGAAAACTGATTGAGGAACATGTTTGCAAACTCCTCAATGTCCCTGATCGATCCCGGAGTGAGTTGGTGGAACCAATATTGGGCTCCCCCAGTAAGGTCGCTAGAAATGCTCGACAACTCATTGTGTCCGTGTATCCATGCGAAACAATCATATTCTCAAAGGACCGTAAGTGTCAAGTTGGGTCTGTAGACTCGTCATAAGTGATACTAAGATCTCGGAAACCATTCGGCAGGTCCGCATCCAGAATCCGTTGCTCGAATGGGTGACCTCGAGCTCTCCCACACTTTTTTTCTTCCACCTTGGCCTGCAACTCCTTCGATTGTTCGACCATTCTCTCCACCATGAGATCACAATCCGCTCCTCCACCAAAGTTGCTTGACTGCTCGACCTCCGTGTCTTTCTTCGTGGTCGCGATAATAGTAACCGCGTTGGACATCTGCTGCTGTTGAACACACCCGACCACCACTACATTGGCAATCATTTTGCTCAGCTCCTCCTTTATCATTGTGACGAGCTGTTGACCAGTTGGCTCCACAGTGCTCCTTGGTGGCCCCATCGACAAGACGACAACTAGATTTGGTTGTGTCTGCGGTGGAACCACGGTCTCCTGCATTGATTTAACTTCCACCGGGTTGCTCGTCCTGCTGCTGCAACAGGGACCATCGATTAGCTCCCTACGCCCATGAAATGAAGCATCGGGGTCATCGGGGTCTAACATGGTCTAAAGAAGCCCGAGGGTGGGGCTACTCTGCACAAGTGTGTGGTGGTCCACACATCATCGAAAGTGTGCTCTATGTTTTTTCTGGGAATGTCGCTTGCCATGGTTGGATCTCTCAGAAGGCTTTTCAAACGAAGTCCCACAGACAGCGCCAAATGGAGTGTAATCAACCTCTAGACGTCTTATACGACTGGACATGCTTCTGACCTTTCAGTGGACTTGCAAAATGGACTGGGGACAGCACCAAATGGAGTGTAATCAACCTCTGGACGTCTTATACGACCGGACATGCTTCTGACCTTTCAGTGGACCTGCAAAATGGACGGGAAGGGTTATCAACGTTCGACAATCAAGTCAGTCACAAATGAAGACGGTGAACAGTAGTATATGTAAAACATGTATGTAGAGTATGTATTGAATGTAATGTCGGAATGGGCATATATCACTCCCTTAAATAGGGGTGTGTTACATTGTTGTTCAAGACTGCTCAAATGAGCTGCCCAGATTGCCCGAACTGCCCAATTGAGTTAGACCATGTGGTCCTATCCACGTGTGGTTTTTTATCTTAATAATATTCATTCTTATCAATTAGTCTGCCTTATTAGATGCTCTAATCGTGCGATTGACCCAAATCACTTAGAGACAGAGTGCTGCCTGTGCTAAGCTTATATGTTGTTCTCCCGGTCGATCTGTTGGCCAGTCATGCCTTAGGGTCGAGTTTCAACCAGGCCATCTAAGGGTCCTAGTTCAACATGTTAGTGCTCTTTTGAACCTGCAACGCCCTTATCGACCTGAGGACACCTAGATCTATAGCTCCGTTCGACCAACCAATTTAGCCCTTTCCAGCTGACTAATTTATGGCGTTTATTCAACCCGATATGGCATTCCATATCAAATATTTATATAAATAGTGTTNATCTATAGGTGCACTTGAAGCATTTTTAATTAATTGTGCATACAAAGAATGACTTGTATTTGCAGGGAATGGTACAATGGGGACGGGAAAGAGGAACGTAAAGGAATTAAAAAAAATAACAATTAAGAGGAGTGAATTATACATGAAAAATAAAATTTAGAACCATAGGATTAGAGTGAGATGATCCAAGGGTCCCTAAATTTTACAGCACCATAACTGTTTAAGTGCATGCTGGCCCCCCAATCCCTCTCTCCGACCCTCCGTGTGTTTTCTCTCTCTTTCAAACCAAGTCAATTAAGACAATGGGTATTCCGGCGAGAAGAAGCGGAGGCGGAGGAGTGGTGGGGATCGATATGCTGAGCGAGAGAGCGGCGCAGATGAGAGAGGCTCTGGTGAAGAGCCAGTCCATCACTGACAATATGGTCTCCATTTTAGGCTCCTTTGACCACCGCCTCTCAGCTCTTGAAACCGCCATGCGCCCAACACAAGTATAGATCTTCTCTCTTTTTATTTCGACTTTTTTTTTTTCTCTTTTGTTGAAAAAAATTTCTTGCTGACTTTGGCTGCATTTGGATGTTTTCTGGGTTTTGGGGAAGAGTGGTAACTTTTATATGAATCCAATAATGTTTTCTTTTAATAAAGCATTCAAGACTTGTTGATCTGCTATTCTGGTTACTTTCTTTATTGGAAAATTGGTGTAAGTTTCAATTAGTTTTTTCTTTTTCCCTTTTTCTTTTTTTGGTTATATTATCACTTTGGATGATAAGATTTCTGATCTATGGCATTTAAAAAGCCAAAGATAAATTTTTATTGTGTCTATGCTTTCCATCTTCAGAACAAGTGAAACTGCTGATCAGAGTTTCTTTAGGTTACTACTTCTTCCATCTATATAGTTTTGTGATTTAGGATTTGAAACATCTTAAAAAAAATCCTTCATTTTTTCTTTCTGATTCATTGTGTCGGATCTGATTCTGATTTATGTGCTTATATTGTCTAGAGAACCTCATTTATAAGATATATGCTCGATTGTGTATCTGTTGCCAGTATTCGTTCAGTTTTATATTAGGACCAAATCACTAAAATTAGGAATCTGCATACAAATTCGTCAGTATATACCCCTTTATGTTACTTCAAGTTTCATAGCATCAGCCAATGAGCCATCAATGCCTCTCTAATGCTGATCTGTTTGTTAATTTATTAGAAACACTTTTTTGTTCATCTGACAATCATAGTATTAAATGGCCACGCCTTGGCCAGCCACCGCGAATGCCATTGGGAATTATCTCCCCACAACACGTACATCCAAAAACCCGATTAGGAATGCCATTTATGTGCTTATATTGTCTAGAGAACCTCATTTATAAGATATATGCTCGATTGTGTATCTGTTGCCAGTATTCGTTCAGTTTTATATTAGGACCAAATCACTAAAATTAGGAATCTGCATACAAATTCGTCAGTATATACCCCTTTATGTTACTTCAAGTTTCATAGCATCAGCCAATGAGCCATCAATGCCTCTCTAATGCTGATCTGTTTGTTAATTTATTAGAAACACTTTTTTGTTCATCTGACAATCATAGTATTAAATGGCCACGCCTTGGCCAGCCACCGCGAATGCCATTGGGAATTATCTCCCCACAACATGTACATCCAAAAACCCGAAGATGATCCTAGCAAAAAGTACCACGCGAGGCGAGTCAGTGTGACGATGGTTGTAGATTGATAAGATAAACAACGATAGAAACAACTTCTCAAAAATGAGAAAGAACAAAATAGGCAATCAAAAAAGGATTCGAGCAAGTGGCGGTGTTTTCTCTTAGCAGTACCAAAGCATCGAGCCATCGACACCATGAGATGAGAGTTGAGCAAGAGTACTACCCTCCAAGGATTTTTTTCACCTAGTGAAAATTAAAAGGAGGTGTATTCAGTTGTGATTTCTATAGATTTAAGTCTTGGGGTATTCTTCATTTGGGATTTTAAAAAAGAGGATTTGCTAAAAATTTTTAAGATTTGCTGGAATTTCTGAAGAAAAAAACATATACGAAATTTCACTTCAAGTTCCTTTTCCAAACTTCAGATTTAATAGGATTCCTACAAAATCTGAAAATCTTAAATCTCAAAAAGTCTCTAAATGTCACTTGAAATCCCAAACAAATACAATCCCCCAAATCCTCACCACCAGAATTAGAACAAACAACTTGAATAAGAGTAGAAACCTGAGTGTGGACTATGCATGGGAAATAAACCCTACTGGGAACAATGTTTCATGAAGTAAATCCATGTATATTAAGAATGATCATTATTAGAAAGTAACATACTATTTATTATCACCCTTTGTAGCAAAAGTGGCTGGCCCATACATACGTTTGAATGACAATATATACATCCGAATGAAGATTGAAAACTCTACCTGAATGGAAAATGCTAATAAAATATTACAGTTGTTAGTAGTGTTCCTAGCTTGCAACCCTTATAGAGTCAATAGATGTATGACCTAAACAACTTTTACTAGTTAATGTAGATGAACGGGATAGGAGTAGATGGCAAAGACGATGATGACCCTTGGCAAAAGATGAATTGGATAGCTGCAGTGGATGACCCCGAGTGGTAGAATCAACCGGCTTAACCAACTTGTATCTATCCAGCCTCCTTAGTTTGTTCCATGCATGAATCTTGATAAACTGTCTCTGCATTTATTCTTCTTATTCTCCTTGGTTGTTTATAACTTTTTTTTTCGTTGACTCATGTTTTAATGTCGTGTTTTTGTCATTTCTATACATTCTAATGACTTGTTGTGGGTAATTGGGATTTTTTAAGATGATTTGCAATGACTTAAGTATGTAATGTATTATTTATTTTCTTTCGTTTTTCCCAACTGTTCACGAGGCGGCACCATGGCCTACACCTATATTTGAAGCATTTATGTAATACTCTCATATAGCTACAAATTGATGTAATTCCTCATGACAAATTTTTTATGGACTAATGTTTTTCGTATTATTTCTCTAGGTCTAGGCTACCAAATCACTTTAAATGATGATGTTTTCTTTCTAACTTCATTTTTACTCCTTAAATCTTGCTGTTCATGTGGGCCTCTCTTATTGTTTTATAATTGGTGTTCATTCTCTCTGTAGATTAGAACTCATGCTATTCGGAAAGCTCATGAAAACATTGATAAAACGTTAAAGGCTGCAGAAGTCATATTGTCGCAGTTTGATCTTTCTCGCCAGGTAATACTCCACTATTTGCTTATGTATATGTTCTCTTTGCTTGTTTTATTTTTCGAATGCTTTCTAACTTCTAGAGGGGACAAAATGGCTTTTGATTGATACTAATTACTTAGTCTAATTGAAGTGTTAATTACCTTAGCTTGTCATGAACTTTTAACTATGGACTATATGACATTTGATGGCTCTAGCTTATCTTATAGATAATCTTTGTTAGTCTTGATTGGTGGAGCTTTGTTTGAGTTTGTTATGGGATCCCTCCCCCTAGATGATATGTAGATCAAAAAGAAAAGAAAAGAAAGGGCTGCTAGAAACATCTCCGGCGACAATCATCATTGAATATAAGCGAAGCGGCCATACAATAGAAAAATGAAGGTGGAAAAGGCTTTACAGAAAAAAAGGGGAAAAGTCGAAACAACAAAGGGAAAGAAACTTCTCTATCCATCGTCGGAATTCGGTCGCCTCATTTGGGGGAGGAAAAGACACAAGTTAACTTGGGATTTTGTTGAACCTAACTAGTGCATATCCCGTGCATCGTAAGTAATATTAAAAATTATGTTTTAATTTTAAATGTTGGACGAAACAAACATATTAAAGTTATGTTTTAAAATTAAATGTTGGACTAAACAACTATATTAAGTTATTTTTATAAATTAAATGTTGGACTAGACGAACATATGAAACAGTTGAATAAACCATTTTAAGGTGATTTTGTAAGTATCCTTGTATACACAAAAAATATTATTGGTATGTATATTCTTTTGAGACCACACACAAATTTTAAAGTATTCTCTCATTTAAATATCTCATTCATTTATCCATTTATTAATTGCCTTAAATTTCAAAGATATCATTTACTTTGTCAAGTAGATCAAATTAATGTAAAAAATATATTAATGTGAATTTATATTCAATTTTCTTAGTCACTTATAAAAAAAACTAAATTTAAATTAATTTCAAATGTTAATGTATCTCAAAAAAAGGATTGATTGTCTGTTTTATAATTTAGTTAAATAATAGAGTAATAAATATTGTATAGTTTTGAGAAAATCTTTCGAAAAACATATCTTAGCTATACCATGATGCTTACTTCAACAAGTTACTAGCAACAAACAATATAGATCTTATTCCTGTCACCCGATGGACTCATCAAGTATAAGGGGTGTAAGGAAAGGTCGGGATTTAGAAATAATACCATGTAAAATGGAATAAACCGATTGTATTCAAGAGTATAATGTACACTGATATTGATATATATACTAGTCAATTTGTAGAAGGAAAATAAATCAAAGAGTGTAATTTACGGGATTACAATAAAATAACTGACAACCTAATTTATACCATTTATACGTTAATGTTATATGCTTGTGGTCTCAGGACATGAACGTTATGCCATTATATAAAACATTTTTTTTTCATTTATTCTTGATATTAGTTATTATGTTACGTTTATTAATGTTTCATTCAAACATAATATTATAACTACAAGTATATAAAAGTCTCAATAAGTCTAAAAAGTCCATTACGAAATTCTTAAAAAGTCACTAATGAGAATTCTCTGAAAGTCTCAAAAAGTCCACCAAAGTAATGAAAGTTTTACAAAGTCCACAAAAGTCACCAAATTTGAAAAGTTTTGAAAAGTCCTTAAAAATCTCAATTTAATACACCCCTCTTATTAGGATTTGTTTTATAAACCGAAAGATTTTTTTTTCAATATTTAGTCCCAATGAACGAGTATAATGCGTAGAAGATCTTTAAAGCTTCATTGAGGATTCAAACTTTAGTTAATAAATCTATGGGAACTGTTGAATGGACAATGAAGCTATTTGTGATGGATTCCAAATCCATGTAAGCCATCTTTAGAGTAAGTTTTGAGGATCTAAATCAATCTTAGATGAAGTAATTAACTCGTATGTTTTACTTCCATCTAATCTTCACCTTAAATCCAATTGGTTTACAAAGGTTTGGAAGTGCAAGAATATCTTTCTATGTATCCTACCTACTAGTAGTGGTACAACACCCGTGTATTACATTGGTGTTGATTAAAAAAATTGTACTTAAAAATAATAAAAAAATAAATTTAAAAGTTTTTATTTTAATTTCCAAATACTTCTTAGAAAGTTTTTTTTCTTTAATTTATATTTATACAAGATAGATATAATTTTTTTATTTTATATATGCAATTTGGTTGCCAAATAAAAAATCATTAAAAGACGAATCGGTTAATTATTATATATGAAAATCTGATAACAAATAAAATAGTTATTAAGTTTTAAAATATATTTTAGAATCTAAGTTGACCAACTGTTTTATAATTTTAGAATTCCCAAAGGCAAGGGTAAAGTCCAAATCTACATGGATTGCTCTAAACTATTCGAATTTGACACATTAGATTCTGAAGCACCACATAGGATTCCGAAGCACTAGAAATGGACAAATAGACTCGAAAAACTCTGCATTTATATATAGGATGGGATGTTTGGGTGAAACCTGATTACTTCTGAAATAGTGCTTTCATTTACATCTCAAAAACTATATCCCTCTGATATCTGTTGACATGCTGTAATCATCAATTTTCTGTAGGCTGAGGCAAAAATACTTAAAGGACCTCATGAGGACCTGGAGAGTTATCTTCAAGCAATTGATCAGCTGAGGAACAATATTAAATTTTTCAGCAACAACAAAAGCTTCAAGAGTAGTGATGGAATTCTCAACCACACAAATCACCTACTTGCGAAGGCTATTTCAAAGCTGGAAGAGGAGTTTACGCAACTGTTATCATTATACAGGTTTGGTTTTCTACTATCTGTATTAGCAAACTAATATGCTTGTTTCACGTTCTTTCCATTGTCTGAAGCGTATGTTGGAATTTGGAATGAGCACATCCATGCACAGTTATAGTGATTGCGAGTAGTTATATTATTCAGCTTAACTTCACATAATTTCATTTAGTCATGACACAGTTTTGGCAGTTCCATGCCTTATGGGCTTGTTGTGCCCAATTCCTGTATCCTGACCCAGGTCTTGTTGCTTTATGGACCCCTTTCTATTGTATCTTTCAGGTTCATTGGTATGTTGTGCTGGTTTGTCTTATAACATTAATTGTTATATATAGACCAAATATTCATTAGTTTGTTTTATGTACTCTGCAACATAATTTTCATTTTTCAGTAAACCTGTTGAACCCGAACGACTCTTTGAGTGCCTCCCCAATTCTATGAGACCATCAGGATCACCTGAACATTCTGCTGGGAAGATTCCATCATCAAATCATTCTGAAAATCAAAATAGTGCCTCAGAGAACTCCGTATATATTACACCTACTCTTATCCCACCTCGAATATTGCCTTTGTTGCATGATTTAGTGCAACAAATGGTTCAAGCTGGGGATCATCAGCAGTTACAAAGGGTATACAGGTAATTAACGGTGGTGGTAAAAAGGTGGTGCTTTTTAATGTTTTTGTATCATGCAGTTTGACCTGTATAACTACATGTTTTGAAGTTTGTCTTAGTCAACTTAAATTTACATGTGAGATAGAAAAAAATGTAGATTTTCAGTACCATGTATTAGACGAGGTGTAGCAATCGGAAGAAAATTAGGAGTCAGTTAATTTACATGCTGATTCTGTAAAGTTCTGCTGTTGTAGGATTCTATTCTGCCCTCTGTCCCACAAGGATGGGTTTGGTTATTTTTTTGGTTGTCCCACAAATATGAACCAGTTTCTTAAAATAGAGAAGTTAAAATATTTGAGTTCCTCTTTTGCCCTTAATCAGCTTGCATGGTATTAAGCAAATAGAATCATACGAATTCTAGAATTACAAACCAAAACAGTATATCAGGAAAATGCTTATAAACTTTACTATCCCTAAAGATCGATGTTGTATTAAACTGTAAAAAAGTGAACTATCCTATATTTAGGGGAAGGGTGTATTAATTTATATCTAGGGAATGACACTTGAACAAGCATATCATGTATTCTGCAGTGCTTCAAGATTGATTATCAGTAATCTTCCCTTTGTAATGATTCAGAGCATGGAATACTCTTAGTAAATGATTATAAGTATAGGTTTCAAGATGTTCATCCATGGTAAGGAAGCTACATATCATTTATCTCCAACCTTGTTCATGTTATGTCTAGCTACTAGCACTAGAATTCTTCAATATAGTCTTATATGGAGGAGTTTTCTTATGTATGTTTGGGTTCTTCCTCTCCCCAAGTTGTTGGAAATAGAGAAAACAGCCTCAATGCATGCAATGAAAATGAATTGTGAATATTTTGTAGTAGATTTGTATATTTTTATTTTTTTTATTTTTATTTATTTATTTTTTATCTCTTTGCCTTTTTCTCCATATCGGCATCACAAAATATGCTCTGGACATTGCAGGGATATCCGCTCTCAAGTTTTAGAAGAAAGTCTCCGGAAATTGGGAGTAGAAAAGCTCAGCAAAGATGATGTCCAAAAGATGCAATGGGAAGTTTTAGAAGCTAAAATTGGGAATTGGATCCATTTTATGCGAATAGCAGTACGTTCTCAACTTCTCATATTAATAAAGCTCCTTTAAATTTTTTTAAGTTCGATTATATATTCTAATGTAGTAACATGTCTGAACAGGTCAAGTTGCTCTTTGCTGGAGAACGTAGAGTTTGTGATCAAATTTTTGAAGGATTTGATAATCTCATGAATCAATGCTTTGCTGAAGTTACTACTGGAAGTGTTGCAGTTCTGCTTAGCTTTGGGGATGCAATTGCCAAAAGCAAGCGATCCCCTGAAAAGTTATTCGTACTTTTAGATATGTATGAAATCATGAGGGAACTTCACTCAGAGGTTCGGACAATTTCTTTTGGGAAATTATATTTAGAAATTAATGGTTGTATGGTGGATTTATTATTATTATTATCATTATTATTATTATTACTTTATTTTTTCTTTTCTTATTTGGTTTCCCTGAACTTGACTTAAACGATGAAGTACGTATTCAAGTCTTCAAGTAGGTTCAGAAAATAATTTGCTGAATTTCAATGCTATCCTTTCAATAATTTTCTCTTCAACACAATCTTCGACTGTATTTTTTCTCTTTCTTCATCGTACTCCCTTTTTGGATTGTATTTTGCATCTATTGAGGCCACCTTTTACTATCTAATTAGGTTAGTCAGTTTTGGAATTGTTTACTGTGTGGTTAACTTTTATGTTGATAACCAGGAACTTGTCCTTTTCTATGCCCCTTCTAGATGTTTTTCTTTGGAATGATAAGAATAAAATTTCCTGCCATTTAGTCTTGCTATGGGAAATTATCACATTTAACATAATTTAGAAGTACATCTTGTTTTGTGTATCTGTCTTATGAATATTATCTCTTAAGGCTGCACCATTGTAAAACAGCCAATTGTCAGACGGGTAATTGTAATCTCAAAAGATTACATTTTTTTTTTTTTTATCAGTAAGACTACATCTAAGGGTAGATGTTGTACTAATTTGCATCTAATTTTGGTTATTCTTTTACCTTCATGCATTTTGACTCGTGTATTTGTCTTTTTCATTTTGCTTGACTTATACTGCACTTGAAAGAATGTTAATGAGGTGAGGGTAATCTAGAATCTGCATTTTGTCAGATAGAAGCACTTTTTAGAGGTAAAGCTTGCAACGAAATCAGGGAATCTGCCTTGGGATTGACAAAAAGGCTTGCTCAAACCGCACAAGAGACTTTTGGCGACTTTGAAGAAGCAGTTGAAAAGGATGCTACTAAAACTGCAGTGGCAGATGGAACTGTTCATCCCCTGACAAGCTATGTGATAAACTATGTCAAATTCTTGTTTGAGTAAGTCAACTTAGTGCCTCAATCTTAGGTAGTCTGCATGTTAACTCATATAATATTTTTGTTAGGTGTTTTGACCGTTTAAGTTGGATGCTGACCTTGTGACACATTTGAATACATGCACCATACACGACGATAATTGCCATAAGATGATCCAGTTAGTAATGGTATATTAAGTGGATATGGATTTCATGTAATTGTATATATATACACATTTATATTTGAGGCAAATTTAATTTTATTACTTTGGGTGATTCATAAGATGATCCTCTTATGCATCACAAGCAAACAATATAGTGAAATTGATGGAGGGCCTTTATTACTTCTAGCAATATCTTTAGAAATCATTTTGAAAATTTATCATCGTCTACCTGTTAAAGAAGAGTGAGTAATGCTTAATTAATATATGAATCTTGACAACGTGATGTAGTTTCAATTATTCCAAGATTTTACTTTACTGCTGTTTTTATCATATTCCTCGCGTTACTATGTGCAGTCAGATGCCGCAGCTAAGTTCATCTTTATACAGATTAAACAGCTGAACCTTCTTTTAGTTACACTACCGAGCCTCCTGTTGTAACTTGAAAGTAGGATGCTATGGAACTGTCAGATTTGCTGTATGTGCATACTTCTTTTTGAAATTGCTTTCTATTAATTTGGCTCTCTTAGTTATATTACCAAACCTTTTCCCAATTGTCTAATTTATCCTTTTTACTCGTGAAGTAATTTTCTGCTCCTTAAACACTCCAAGAGAAATATATATGATTTGGGTGATGATAATATTTTGCATGATGATTCATTTCTCATTGGCACTTGCATTTAACACATCTATTAATACAGTGCAAAAATGATTAAGGGGTTGGTTTAATTGTTTGGTTTATTTTTTCCAGCTACCAATCAACACTGAAGCAACTTTTCCAAGAATTCGAAACAGGAGATGATTCGAATTCCCAGCTAGCAGCTGTTACAATGCGAATCATGCAGGCTCTTCAGACCAATTTGGATGGGAAATCCAAGCAATATAGGGATACCTCTTTGACTCACTTGTTTCTTATGAACAACATTCATTACATGGTCAGATCTGTGCGCAGGTACATTTGATATATCTCGCAATTCGTACTTATCTTTAGCTGCCTCTTCTTCTTGTTAAAGTCATTCCTTGTTACTGGTTAGGTCTGAAGCAAAAGACCTTCTAGGGGATGATTGGGTTCAGAGACATAGGAGAGTTGTCCAGCAACATGCAAACCAGTATAAGAGAATTGCTTGGGCAAAGGTTCGTTTTGTGATAATACTCTTTTCTTTTTTTTTTTAATTAAAAAATCATTTTATAGACAATGTTGTTAAAAATCAGGTTAGGCAGGCTACTAATTATAAGACAAAACCGAAACACGAGTTTTAGTGGATTCTATTTACTTGGAGCCTTTGTTATATATTTGATCATATGTTTTGTAAGATGTTACTGCTCATTGTATCCTTTTAGTGGCCTGAAAGATGTAACCACTTTGTAGGGAAGTATAGAAAAGTTTACAACAAAGTAGTCATCCATCTAAAAATCGTAAAACATTTGCCTTATTTTGCACAGATACTACAGTGTCTCTCTGTACAAGGCCTGACATCATCAGGAGGTGGTAGTTCGGTTGGTGCTGATGGAGCAAACAGTAGCGGAGTTTCCAGAGCACTTATAAAAGACAGGTATCCAAAAAATATTGTTGATGAAGATCTAACGTAAAAGAAAAAACAGAAAAACCATCTTTTCATTTCTAAACAAACAGTTTGGGGAGAGGTAGCTGAACTTCCTTTTGGTTTTCCCAGGAAACAATTTTCCTTCCATTTTTTATGGAATTAAAAGGAAAAATGGACAATTGAAAATGAAGTATTTTTCGAGCTCTAAGGGTGCTTGGATACAATTTTTTCCAGAAAAATCCAATCATTTTTAACCATCATTTTTTTTTTAACTCAATTCTAACTCAACTTTACCTCAACCACACTATCCTCTATTATCAGTATAATTAAATAATAGCACTCAATTATTCTTACACATTGCATCAACTTTAATTCACTATTCATCCACTCACATAATTTTAACTAACCATCACTTCACATCATCTATTTCCTACTTTTACATCAAATCAACTTTAATTTTTTTTAAATTTAATTTTAATAAAAACTCAAAATTCAACTAACAACTAACCATACAACTTTTTTCAAAATTAACCATACCAAACCAAAAAATCCAAACAAAATTAAAATATTTTATATCCAAATGACTAATTTTATTGGTATATTCTTAGATTGAAGACATTTAATGTCCAATTTGAAGAGCTTCATCAAAAACAGTCCCAGTGGACAGTCCCCGACACTGAGCTTCGAGAATCTCTAAGGCTGGCTGTTGCTGAGGTCTTGCTTCCGGCATACCGATCTTTTATTAAACGTTTTGGGTATGTGCTCAAAGCCCCTTCAAATAATTGGCTGTGAAAACAATGTGCAGTGTCATTTCTTGAGAAAACTATGTGATGATCCTTTTTCCCTCTTGAAATTTAACAGACCTTTGGTTGAGAATGGTAAGAACCCCCAGAAGTACATTCGGTACACGCCCGAGGATCTTGAACATATGCTTGGTGAATTTTTCGAGGGCAAGACTTTGAATGAGCCAAAGCGTTAAAACCTTGATCAGCTTGTGTCGTCAGAGTGGAGGCATTGCTCCTTTCTGTCGGGCGAAAACTGTTGCTTTTTTAACTTTCCTGGAGATTACATTCACTTTTAAATCGTAAATGTGTTGTTCATATTAAACTGGGGCCTGCTTTGGTAAGAACAATTGTTTACTGTAAAGTAGGGCTGTCCTGTCCTGGCAATAATTTGTGTTTGTGGATTGTGATACATCATTTTCTTGCACATCCAATGTGGCCTTATGACTGCGAAATTGAAGAACTGACACTTGTTGTAATATTGTATAGGTAGGAAATGTTATCACAGGGTACTTGTATAATATGGAGTGTTATTACTACTACTATTATTATTATTATTATTCTTATTGTTGTTGTTGTTGTTGCTGCTGCTGCTTGTTTCCTGAACTATAGAATAATATTAAACTTAAAACCGAGACTAGTTACAATATACAAATTGATGGAGATAAGGACAAACAAGATCTTTGGGATATTTAATTTAGTTATGTATTCCTTTTATTTACTGTTATTATTTTAATCCTAGATTTGTTGGGAAAGTTATTTAATTATTCTAGTATTTCTATTTGGTAGGAAAGATATTTAATTATCTTTTACTTGTTAGAAAAGTTAGGATTCTTGGGTTCTATTTAAGAGACCTCTTCTCTTTGTGTTTAATCGGTCGAGATTTTAAGAAAGAAGAATATATTCCTGAGAGTTTTATCTCTTACTTCCCTTTTTATGTTTTCGCTACGTCAGTTGGAACGATCCACGATGCCTTCAAAGAGGAACGATGTCGATGAGAGACGTGATGCCGCCATCGACGTGATGTTGCAACGGCACGAGGTGGATGATTGACACATGGTAAATCTGACCTCGAGGATAGAGGACCTATTCCCGACTTTCAATACTGCTTTTGATGGCGATCGATTGAACCATGCCCGTGGCGAACGTTGCGGTGGGATGTTCAGAGGTCACTATCGGGGTGCACGCGGGGCGCCCTGCTCCCGATCGCCTTACTCGTGGGTCGGAGAAAGTGACGATGAAGACACCTTCTCTGAGGTTAGTCCTTTATGTCATCAAGCTCAGGATGACGATTATCAAGTCGATGATCGTCGGTAGGAGTCGTCTTTTCGTGTCGACATTTCGGATTTCACCGGCGGCTTGGATGCGTTGTAGTTCTTGGATTGGATGGCTACGATCGAGACCGTCCTCGACTATTCACGGGCTTGTGTGAATGAGCAAAGGTCGACAGCATATGAGGGTTCGCCTCGTTTTGATGACGAGGGGACGACTGAATATATAATTTGCCGATTTTTTATGACAAGGGTCCAACTCATTTTGATGTGCAGGGGTCGACTGAGTCTCTAGGTCCGCTTCTGTTTTATGAGCAGGTGTTGACCGAGTATGAGGGTCCGCCTTTTTTTTATCACGAGGAAATGGGAAGATGAAGCGGGAGATGTGATTGGCGATGGGTCCATGATTATGCTCATGGCGTCTAAGGATCTCCATTATAGGGCTGGCCTCATTAAACTCAGCTGCTTAACTTCCATCAAGAATCCTAAAGTTCGGTTGTTGGTCAAGCAAACTCCCGAAGGCCTCCAAAAGTTGTTTCAAGAAATACCACTTTGGATAAAAAAAAATCCATATTATGATCGGCTTGATTGGTTAAACAAATTCATGGAGTATATGTGGCTTTACTTAAATAAGGCAAATGCAGTCAATCTTTCTTCACTAATAATATTTCCACCAGTGAAAGATGAATTCCTCCAATTGGAGGGGAAAAATTCCCTTGTGAGGGGCGCATATTCTAGGGATTCAGATTCCTCTTGGGGAGGTTTCTTTGCTATTGCATCATTTGTTTTCTTTAAGGGATCTATTTTTCTATCTTGTGTGGATTCACTAATCTGGGTTTGAAAGAAACTTTTCATTGGGGCGAAAATTGGGGGGTTTGCTTTCGGCAGGAATCATGGTTGAGGAGTTGGAAGAACGATTTAAAAGTATGGAGCTATCCCAATCTGAAAACACCCCTATTGAACTCCAAACAGAAGATATCAAATCTAGTGACGAAGAATGCGGGCGCAACCTATTTGGCAAACGTGGGGGATCGAAGGGCAAGCTTATTGGGGATTAAAAGAGCCATGGGAATTATTTGGAAAATTCAACACCCAGTTGAGGTACGAGAACTCAAATCGATTTTTTTTCAATTTATATTCGGAAGCATAGAAGACAAGAAAAAGGTTCTTCTGGGCATCAATTGGATTTTTGAAAACCAATTTCTAATTCTGCGAGAATGGGAAAAAGGGCTCTCTGAAAACCACCCTAGATTTGTTGAATTAAAATTATGGGTACAAGTCAATCATCTTTCTATAAACTGGTTGTGTTCAGGGGTAGGCTTGAATACTATTGAAAACTGGTTGTGGAAGATTTTCAAACAAACCAAGAATGTGTCACTGATCAAAGTGGAAGTTACTTAAAACTATTGGTGGTAGTGGATGTGGAAAAACCCCTTCCTAGATTTGTTCCAATGAAGCTGAATGACCAACAATTGTTAGTTTCCTTTCAATATGAGAAGCTAATCAATGTCTGTTTCTACTTTGGTATTATAGGCCACCTAGAAACAACTTGCAAGAACAGGCTACTGGATATAGAGCAAGGACAATTGAAAGAAGGCCAATATGTGGAGTGGATCAAAGCAAATGTTAGCCATGGAGGAGGGTCAAGCTATGGATTCAGCAGTCCAAATAGTAACTCTAATGCCTCACCTACTCACACAGAGACTCCTAACCAGACTACCGATGAAAGAGGGAAAAACAATCAATCAGTGCTAGTAGGAACCTCTCTGTCCTTTTGAGGGAAAATGGTGACTCACCAAAGGAAGGTGATACTAGTCTTAAAATTACAATCTTACCAGATTCTGTGGGACACTCAAAGTAGCTGGCTACTATTCTTGAAGACAATGCATTTTGTATGATCCTTATTTCCACACAAGAACCTGGCAAAGGGGATCACAGTGGGGAGATTCATATGGATACTGAGGAAACCCAAACTGAGGAGCAATTCAACTTTGAAAGCCAAAACCGAATCACTGAAGGGAAAGAAAAAGAGAAACATGTTCACAGATTTGGAAAAGACTTGCTGGACAAGGGGATAGAATTACTAGAGAATCAAACGGCAGTTTGTCTTTAACAGGTGGCAGCAAATCTAAAAGAACCTTGGATACTTTTCAGACAGGGGAAGAGAATGAATTGGAGCTAATTGAAAAGCATCAACTTAGGAAGAAAAAATAGAGTCCAGAACAAGGTGGAGGTGGCAAGCCTGAAGTGGGCCCAAAGTGATCAATGAAGATGATACTGTGGAATTGTATAGGTCTGGGCGGACCCTCTACAGTTTTCCAGATTAAGGAATCTTCTAGATTCCACCACCCTAGTATTATATTTATTTCAGAAACTTGAAAAAAATAAAGATTTTGTTAAGTCGGTATGCAATAAGATTGGCTTCAAGGATAGGTGGATATCAGTAGATCCATAAGGCCAAAGTGGAGGTATTTTACTCCTTTGGCAGAAGGATGTTATGATAAAGCAGGTGATAGAACATTCTTTCTGTTTTGAGGTTAAGCTTGATGGGGTAAATAGAGGATCTCCTCTTTGGGTCATACTAATCTATGCCAGTGCTGACAAAAAGGAAAGAGAAGTTCAGTGGCAAGTCCTAGAAAGAGCCAAAAAAAAATGGGGCAACAATTGGATAGCTGGGGGAGATTGGAATGAAATAAGGGATTGGACTGAGAAAGGAGGAGGAAGAGTAAAAACCACCCAAAATGTTAGGGGATTCAATGATTTTATAGAGAGAATGGGGATGTAGGAGTTCACACTATGGGGTTATCAGTTTACTTGGTCCAATCACAGAGCTAGGGAGGAGTTTATTGAGGAGAAAAATGATAGGTGCTTTGGGCTCTTGAATGGTTTGCTTGCAATCCAAGAGCTGTGGTGGAAAGTTGTTTTCGAAGTTCCTCTAATCATAGAATGCTGGTGTTGAAGGACTCTCAATCTGGGACCAAGCTCAAAAAACGATTTTTGTTTGACAAGAGATGGGCTCAAATGACAGAGGTTAAAGAGGTGGTGAAGCGGCATGGGTTTATACTCAATCTGGAACTCCTATGTTCAGAGTCAAGGAAAAAATAAAAGAAGTCAGGGTTGCTTTACTCAAATGGAGCTGTTTCTTTAGAGAGAAAAATGAAAAAGAAAAGCAGGAGATTTCCCAAGCATTAGAAAGATTGAGCGAGGAAGGATGTAACAGGGATTGGGAAAAATGGTGGAATCTTCACAAGGAATTGGATAGCTTAAATAAGAAAAGAAAAAGCCTTTTGGGCACAAAAGGCTAGAGCAAGGTGGCTGAAGGAAGGAGACTCCAACTCTAGATTTTTTCATGCTCTAACTGTTCAATGGAGACATAGCAATGCTATAAGCAGAGTCGTGGACACAAATGGCCAGATTTTTTAAACTCAGGAGGGAGTGGAAAAATGCATTTTCTCTTTCTATGAAAAATTACTAAAATCTGAAGGCTCTTAAGGTAGTGATGAAATTCTCAATCTAATTTTACCAGTGATCTCAGAGGAGATGAATCAGAATCTTGTGGCACCAGTTGAAGAAGAGGAAATGAAAGAGGCTTTATTCAACACGGAAGCTGATACTGCCCCAGGTCAGGATGTCATGACACCCTATTTCTTTCAATTTTTCTGGGATGTGATAAAAATGACCTGTGTGAGGTTGTAGGTAGCTTCTTCTCTTTTGGCCAACTTCTTAAAATCTGGAAGCACACTGTTATAACTTTCATTCCTCAATGTCTAAATCCCTCAACCATAAACCATTTTTGACCCATAAGCCTTTGTGGAGTATCATTCAAAATCATCTCCAAAATCCTTACGTTAAGACTGAAAAAGTTGCCTTGAATTCTTGTGTGAGTGTTAACCAAGCAGCTTTCATACCCGGGAGACAAGGTTCACTTTCTAAATAGGCACAGGTCAGGGAAGACTAAGTACATGGTGGTCAAATTTGACATGGAAAAAGCTTATGACAAAGTTGAATGGAAATTTGTCATTGATATTCTGTTGAAATTGGGGTTTGCTAGAACATTTGTGAAATGGATATCTGCGGGGTAAAATATATAGTACCCCCTTGTATTATACGAAACCTGCGCGTTTTCCTCCTGTATTTTAAAAACTAGTTGCGACCCGTGCGATGCACGGGATGATATATTCTACTGAAATTTTTTTAATATTGAATATTAAATTTAATGGACTTGTTACATATGGCGTAATAAATTATAAATGGGGCCGGACACAAATTAAAAAATTCATAAATTATTGAACACTTTTATGTACACAAGGTTTTTGGTTTGATTTGGTGGCGAGTCATCGTCACCACATACTAATATATAAACCACTTTGGTTGATGACATGAGAGACAATAACGTATAACTGTCCATGACTGAACAACGAATTCTTAAGAAATACTTTTTCCATGGAGACAACCTTGCCATTATCCCCTGGGACGATGTAGGTTACAAAGACAGACCTATTTCCTGCTTTCGATGGCTTGGAAGTGGACTTGATTGTCTTTCGGTATGCTTGATCCCTATTATGATAAGATTCTTCATTTGAACAATGAGAATAAGGTACGGGTCTCCTATCCGGAACAATCTTTTAGTCTAAGAAAATGAATGCTTTCGAAGAGCTTGTTCTAAGGGCAAGAATATGGCATTCCCGAGCTGCAGAAGAACTCTTGTTGATGTTCATGGCGTATAAAACCATAATGGGAAACTACCACCTTGGAACTTGAAAGAAATTCTCACATCAGAAGAAGTTATATAGTCATTATAGGAATCAACACATTCTCGCCTTCATGATCCCCAGTGAGTATCTATCACAATGCTTTCCGCTCCAAGAATATTAAAATTATTCAAGTTTTTTCATGAAATTTATGCTGACCTATTTATTTAAATAATAGTACAAAAAAATTATAAGTAACAAATAAAATATCATAAAATTGAAGGTGAAAATATCTTAACCTATATATAAACAAAAATATAAATGAAATATAAATAAAACGCCATTTATAATATCATTGAAGGGCATATGATGAAGTATTTGATGAATTGCCCGATCCAACTATCATTTTTCGTTTACTAACAATTGATCCAGTGTGAAAATCGAGATTCATAGTACCTACATATGTAAGGTCCAAAAAACAATATTGCAAGATTATTTATAATCAATTTATAAAAATAGAATACACACATTTTTTACTTTCTAATGTTACGCACATAAAATTCATATAATGGACCAACATATTACAAAATTCTCTCAAACATAGGTACTAAGTATTAAGATTTTCTTAGACAACACTATTTGTTTTGTTATTTTGTTGCAATTTAGGGGAACTAAATGTCTAAGATCCTTATTTTCTGTGTCAAATGCAAACATGTGAGTGGGTATATAAAAGAAAAAAAGAAAGAAAAAGCGATGAATCAATCTATACATATCTTCAGTAGATTTTCACATACATTGAAATTTAAAGATATAAAACAAATATACATTAGTAGAAATTTTTTGTTTGTGTTAACATATTTGTGTTTTTTGTTTCTGTACAAAATACCGAGAATGATCAAACAAAATCATGAACACAGAAGCATTCCACACATTTTTTATGCCAACATCATGTGCAAACTGATATGTTATTCAATATTCGTATGTAAAATGAATTAAATATATTTAATTGCAAGATCTATATTATTACCTTTGAATATGTTATTCTCACTCGCCCTTTTGCTCTTTTTGTTGGATATGTTAGCTTCACTCGTGACTCGCCCTTTTGCTCCTTTTGTTGGATCCATTATCTGCTGCAATGCTATATCTGACTATCTGAATCCAGTAAAGCTTATAATATATTGTGTATGAAATTTTAGTTATATTGTAAGTTTTACATGAAATATGACCATGTATGCACAAAATCCATATAAAACCTAACTTTTTTTCTAACCATCTTACTTTTCATATAAAGAATGCATACATAAATTTTTTACTTGTATTATATACAAAATGGTATATGTTTCTAATCAGATAATATAATGTAATGTTTCAAAATTCACCACACCAGTTTTTTTTAATATATTTATATTTATTATTTTCTGGGATATATCAATGCAATGGTACATACCATGAAACATATTTTGGGTTTAATCAAATTAAATATAATAATTTTGGGTCACAGTTTTATAATTCTTAAAGTTTTTTTGACATACTATATTGCAAATTTGTAGGTTCCTGAAGATTATACATACTAATTTCGCATAAATAAAAAATAGCAGGAATGGAAATCAGTATATATCCACTTTGTATTCATGCTTTTCCATGTAAATGAGTGGCTATTGTTTACTGTGAACTTACCTGTGTAATTGGATTCGACACAGATTTTGTTACTCTTTTCTGGGAATTTTTGCTGCCGCATTGTGATTAAGCCGTTCATCTGTGATGTGCTCCTGCACTTGAACCGGCTTCCCTCTGCTCCCCGACCGCTCAGAGACCTGCAAGGTCCCGGCGGTAAACCTCCGACGCTCAAGTCAGTAAGAGATCAAAGATAGAAGGAAGCTATGTATATAATTTAGGGTTTGTAGAATGATTGATTTTACCTCCGTCTCCTCCATATTCATATACTTAGCACATCTCTCTAATAGTTCATCATATGACCTTGCTGGTTTCTTAGCTAAAGAATTCCTGCAGTGCCCCGCTTTCAAACCTCGTGTGAGCCCCCCCGCTTTGATCTCCACTGTTGCAGTAGGAACCTCCACACAAGCTCGCGTGTACCTAGCAACATAATCCCTCAGTGACTCATTCTCCCGCTGTTGCATGTTGATCAGCGAGAGGTAGGTCTTTTCCTGCTTCCTTGCGCTAGAGAACTGATTGATGAATAGCGAGCTAAATGCCCCAAAGCTATAGACAGATCCCGGTGGGAGCTGGTGAAACCAATCCTGAGCAGAGCCCTTCAAAGTCGTCAGAAAAGCCCTGCAACATACTCCGTCACTGTAGCGATGCAAGACCGCCACATTCTCAAAACTCCTCAAGTGTCTAGCTGGGTCTGATTATCCATCGTAGTATAGGTTAGGCTCCCTGAAATTCTGAGGCAACTCCGCAC